CTGCAAAGGATGACACGAAGCTGTGACTTGTGTTTTTGTCTATATCTGATATGAGAATAAGGAACAGCAGTGGTGCAAGGACTGTACCTTGAGGTACAGAGCTTTTAACTACGCTCGGACTCATAAGAACATAAGAACAAAGGTAACTGCAGAAGGCCTATTGGCCCATACGAGGCAGCTCCTATTCTATAACCACCCAATCCCACTCATATACTTGTCCAACCCGCGCTTGAAACAATCGAGGGACCCCACCTCCACAATGTTACGCGGCAATTGGTTCCACAAATCAACAACCCTGAAATTACCCTGACTCGATTTTACTTGATTGACTGTTACTCTTTGTGCTCTGTTCGACAGGAAATTGAGTATCCAGCGTCCTACTTTACCCGTTATGCCCATTGACCTCATTTTGTGTGCAATCACTCCATGGTCACATTTGTCGAATGCCTTTGCAAAATCTGTGTATACGACATCTGCATTATGTTTTTCCTCTAATGCCTCAGTGATTTTGTCATAGTGGTCAAGTAGCTGTGAGAGGCATAATCTTCCTGCTCTAAGTCCATGTTGGCCTGGATTGTGGAGGTCATTGGTTTCCATGAATCTAGTGACCTGACTCCTGATCACTCTCTCAAATACTTTTATTATGTGGGACGTTAGTGCAACTGGTCTATAATTCTTTGGTCTATAATTCAGCAAGATATAGCTGAAGAACCACACCAGGTGTCTTGTTACTAACGCTTCGATTAATAAATCCCAGTGTCCTATTCGCCTTATTACGAACATTCATGCATTGACCCTTTTTTTTTAAATTCTTACTAATGAAGGCCTAATGGCCCATACATGCCTCGTATGGGCCAATAGGCCTTCTGCTGTTGCCTTTGTTCTTATGTTCTTATACCAAGTCGGCGCCCACCCAGGCAGGGAGGAGCAAATAGGACACTGGGATTTATTAATTGAAGCGTTAGTAACAAGACATCTGAAATTGAAATTAGAAATCTGAAAATGAAATCTGGTTAGGCCCCATTTAGATTATGCAGTTCCGTTAGCTAGATGGTGTTGAGATTGCGAAGTCGGATTGCGAAAGGTATCTGGGAGTTATGATTAGTAAGAATTTAAAACAAAAGGATCAATGCATGAATGTTCGTAATAAGGCGAATAGGACACTGGGATTTATTAATCGAAGCGTTAGTAACAAGACACCTGGTGTGGTTCTTAAGCTATATCTTGCTCTGGTTAGGCCCCATTTAGATTATGCAGTTCAGTTTTGGTCGCCGTATTATACAATGGATATAAATTCACTTGAACGTGTCCAACGTAGGATGACTAAGTTAATTCCCCAAATTAGAAATCTTTCATATGAAGAAATATTAACAAAGCTTAAGTTGCATTCACTGGAAAGGCGAAGAGTTAGGGGTGACATGATAGAGGTTTACAAGTGGATGAATGGACATAACAGGGGGATATTAATAGGGTATTAAAAATATCAACACAAGACAGAATACGAAAGAACATAAGAACATAAGAACAAAGGTAACTGCAGAAGGCCTATTGGCCCATACGAGGCAGATCCTATTCTATAACCACCCAATCCCTCTCATATACTTGTCCAACCCGTGCTTGAAACAATCGAGGGACCCCACCTCCACAATGTTACGCGGCAATTGGTTCCACAAATCAACAACCCTGTTACTGAACCAGTATTTTCCCAAGTCTTTCCTAAATCTAAACTTATCCAATTTATATCCATTGTTTCGTGTTCTGTCCTGTGTTGATACTTTTAATACCCTATTAATATCCCCCCGGTTATGTCCATTCATCCACTTGTAAACCTCTATCATGTCACCCCTAACTCTTCGCCTTTCCAGTGAATGCAACTTAAGCTTTGTTAATCTTTCTTCATATGAAAGATTTCTAATTTGGGGAATTAACTTAGTCATCCTACGCTGGACACGTTCAAGTGAATTTATATCCATTCTATAATATGGCGACCAAAACTGAACTGCATAATCTAAATGGGGCCTAACTAGAGCAAGATATAGCTTGAGAACCACACCAGGTGTCTTGTTACTAACGCTGCGATTAATAAATCCAAGTGTCCGATTTGCCTTATTACGAACATTTATGCATTGATCCTTTTGTTTTAAATTCTTACTAATCATAACTCCCAGATCCCTTTCGCAATCCGACTTCGCAATCACAACACCATCTAGCTCGTATCTTGTAACTCTATCATCATTACCTAACCTCAGAACTTTACATTTATCAGCATTAAACTGCATCTGCCAATCCTTTGACCATTTCAAAACCCTATCTAGATCAACTTGAAGTGATAGTGAGTCCTCCTCCGAATTAATTTCCCTACCGATTTTCGTATCATCGGCAAATTTGCAAATGTTGCTACTCAAACCTGAATCTAAATCATTTATATATATTATAAACAACAGAGGTCCCAGGACAGAGCCTTGAGGCACTCCACTTACAACATTTTCCCACTCTGACTTGATTCCATTTATACTAACTCTCTGTTTCCTTTGGTATAGCCATGCCCTAATCCAGCTTAATATAGCACCCCCAATACCATGAGACTCTATTTTTTTAATCAGTCTTTCATGTGGCACTGTATCAAAAGCTTTGCTAAAGTCAAGGTATACAACATCGCAATCCTTACCACTATCAACTGCCTCAACAATGCTAGAATAAAAACATAAGAACATAAGAACAAAGGTAACTGCAGAAGGCCTATTGGCCCATACGAGGCAGCTCCTATTCTATAACCACCCAATCCCACTCATATACTTGTCCAACCCGTGCTTGAAACAATCGAGGGACCCCACCTCCACAATGTTACGCGGCAATTGGTTCCACAAATCAACAACCCTGTTACTGAACCAGTATTTACCCAAGTCTTTCCTAAATCTAAACTTATCCAATTTATATCCATTGTTTCGTGTTCTGTCCTGTGTTGATACTTTTAATACCCTATTAATATCCCCCCGTTATGTCCATTCATCCACTTGTAAACCTCTATCATGTCACCCCTAACTCTTCGCCTTTCCAGTGAATGCAACTTAAGCTTTGTTAATCTTCTTCATATGAAAGATTTCTAATTTGGGGAATTAACTTAGTCATCCTACGCTGGACACGTTCAAGTGAATTTATATCCATTCTATAATATGGCGACCAAAACTGAACTGCATAATCTAAATGGGGCCTAACTAGAGCAAGATATAGCTTGAGAACCACACCAGGTGTCTTGTTACTAACGCTGCGATTAATAAATCCAAGTGTCCGATTTGCCTTATTACGAACATTTATGCATTGATCCTTTTGTTTTAAATTCTTACTAATCATAACTCCCAGATCCCTTTCGCAATCCGACTTCGCAATCACAACACCATCTAGCTCGTATCTTGTAACTCTATCATCATTACCTAACCTCAGAACTTTACATTTATCAGCATTAAACTGCATCTGCCAATCCTTTGACCATTTCAAAACCCTATCTAAATCAACTTGAAGTGATAGTGAGTCCTCCTCCGAATTAATTTCCCTACCGATTTTCGTATCATCGGCAAATTTGCAAATGTTGCTACTCAAACCTGAATCTAAATCATTTATATATATTATAAACAACAGAGGTCCCAGGACAGAGCCTTGAGGCACTCCACTTACAACATTTTCCCACTCTGACTTGATTCCATTTATACTAACTCTCTGTTTCCTTTGGTATAGCCATGCCCTAATCCAGCTTAATATAGCACCCCCAATACCATGAGACTCTATTTTTTAATCAGTCTTTCATGTGGCACTGTATCAAAAGCTTTGCTAAAGTCAAGGTATACAACATCGCAATCCTTACCACTATCAACTGCCTCAACAATGCTAGAATAAAAAGATAACAAATTTGTTAAACATGAACGGCCATTTATAAAACCATGTTGCGACTCAATTATTAATTATTAATTAATAATTGTTAAACATGAAAACAATGGGTATAAATTGGATAAGTTTGGATTTAGGACAGACTTGGGTAAATACTGGTTCAGTAACAGGGTTGTTGATTTGTGGAACCAATTGCCGCGTAACGTGGTGGATGTGGGGTCCCTCGATTGTTTCAAGCGCGGGTTGGACAAGTATGAGTGGGATTGGGTGGTTATAGATAGGAGCTGTCTCGTATGGGCCAATAGGCCTTCTGCTTTGTTCTTATGTTTTGGTCGCCGTACTATAGAATGGATATAAATTCACTTGAACGTGTCCAGCGTAGGATGACAAAGTTAATTCCCCAAATTAGAAATCTTCCATATGAAGAAAGATTAACAAAGCTTAAATTGCATTCACTGGAAAGGCGAAGAGTTAGGGGTGACATGATAGAGGTTTACAAGTGGATAAATGGACATAACAAAGGGGGATATTAGTAGGGTATTAAAAGTATCAACACAAGACAGAACACGAAACAATGGGTATAAATTGGATAAGTTTAGATTTAGGAAAGACTTAGGTAAACCCTGGTTCGGTAACAGGTTTGTTGATTTGTGGAACCAATTACCGATTTTCGCACTGACATGACCCCATTTATACTAACTCTTTGTTTCCTTTGGGTAATATGCCCTAATAAAAATCTACACACCCTCTCACTGTGTGGTTGAGTGGTTTAGATTTTGGAAAATACTCATTCAGTATCAGGGTTCTTGATTTGTAGAACCAATTACCGCGTAACATGATAAAAGTAGGTTCCCTTGATGATGTCAAGGGTAGGTTTGACATATGTGAATGATATTGGATGGATATAAATAGGAACTGCCTCGGATGGGGCAATAGGCATTTTGCAGTTACCTTCAATATTATGTTCTTAAAGCCACTAATACCCATATGGCATGAATGAAGTAAGCAAGTGGTTAAATGTGTGGATGGGCCTTGTGCAGAGTGGGTGTGAGATGCATAATAAATGAACTAATGTAAAAATATATTAGAGTGAGGCGGAGAGAGGTGTAGGTGTGGGATATAAGCGCTTGCATGTGTGTGAAGCCTGGCTTGTGTGTGTGTATGTGTGTGCGAGTTTGACGCTGAGGCAGTGCGTGGAGGTCCATCTAAACAGCTACGCTACGCTACAGTATTTTCAACACATCTACTCAACATGGAGGAAGCGCCGGTATGACATCTTGGTGTGGGTTTGGGAGTGTTGTAGGGAGGTGTGTGATATGTTGTAGTGGTGGTGTGGCCGCCGGGTGAGCCTCACACAGCCACCCATATGAAGTACACAGCTTGGCTCTCCTCTTGGGCGCCTTCCTGGTCTACCCTCGCTAGCAGCTTATTATATAAGTTCACAGTCTTGTTATATAATCTTTGTTGATTTTAATTTAGACAATCAAAAGTGATGGGAAGTTAGGTCCATCTGGACGGTAGTTTTTATATTTTAAAGAGTACAGGAAAAAGTCCCGATTTTGGCATTCATGTGGGAAATTGGCCAATCTAGCAGCCTAGATTGGCCAATGTGCATACTTAAGGGTGTTCTTGTGCTCTATTAACCTGTTTGTGCAGGCTAATAGAGCCTGTTTGAGCAGGCTAATAGATCAGCCTCGCATTTCGTGTGTTCTCATGAGGCCATGTATGATTTACCATCTGGCTGGGGATTTTAGATCAACTTGTATGTTTTGTTTACAATTTGTATTCCTTTATATGGAATAGGGTAGCAGCACATTGCTGTGTATACCTAAGTTTGTTAATAAGAACAATAATGGAAAGCGTACTTGCTTGACCTTTGTTCCATACACTCGACCCTACATTCTATAATGTAGTTTGTAGTTCTATAATGCATAGAAATGAAATTCTTTGGTTCAGGCCATCGGTTATTGTGTCACGGCATAAAAATTTACTTATTAAGTGTACAGTGATAGTAGTTAGTGAAGTTCATTATTATTTATTGTGTAACTGAACCTAAAATTTATTTATCATTGTAGCCTAATCTTTGGACAGCAGCTATGGTAAAAATGATAATGTCCGCCAATGTGCATAAGAGAAAATAATTTGTCATAGGAGATTGTGCAGTGGTCTGGCATCTGTCAATATATGATAGCTAACATTGAGGTTTGTGAGACACGACTCCTGTGTTCTCTCGATGTTTCTGCGATTGTTTATCACTTTCTTTATCTTCTTGGTAAGTGTGTTACATAACTTGATAAATCACATCATTCACATATGATCACTCCTTCTGAAGATGTATTCCTGTTTCAATTTTCCTCTGTGGTTTGACCTCACATTTTTAATCACATGTTTATTTTCGTGATATACATACATTTGATCATGTTTCAGTTGATGATTGGATTACATGGTATACTTCATTGCAACCATATAAACAATGTGAATATAATATACATCACTTTACAATGGTGTTTGGCTTTGGCCAATGACATACGACAAGAGTATAGATTGGTTGATTATGCCTTTCTTTCAATGTGACTCCACAGATGGTAGTACATGTAATATATAGTATAATAGTTGTTCAGTTGATGATTGGCATACCTGGTATTGCAACCATATAGTTTGTATGGTTGTGAAAACCATTTGAACAAAATTGGTATACGTATATATGTATCATAATTATTATGGAATTTTATGCTCCTGCATTTACCTAGTAAAATTCATGATACATGTTATCATGAATGTTATGTTGTCTATATGAATCACATTCATATAGCAACATGACCCTAAAATGATAGCAGGTTTTTTGTTATGGGTTAAAGTAAACTCCATTACATCCATAGTGAGCAATTTACCTGAAGATCTGTCTGTCTAGGCCTCTAACATTAGTGACCTAGACAAGAACAGGATGCCAGTGGCTTGTCAAATGCCCCTCCCCCCCCTCCATTTGCCTTGATGTTTTCTAGTCGGAATTTAGAATTTAACAGTTATGGCATTTACGGTTTCAGTGGGTAAGGGGTTCCATGTGTTTTTAACCCTGTGGATGAAGAAGCATCGTCACAAACCTTCATTGTGGCTTGTTGAGCTCAAGCTTGTTGCTCCTTGTTTGTTATATCTAACTTTTTAAAGAAATTGTATTTTAAGAGTTTCAATGAGGTCCACCTTGTCCTGTCTGGTTTGCTGTGTAGTTAGCCATGTGGCCCTCAACTATTCCTGATATGCGAGTTGACTTGGCTCTGGAATGATTGTTGCACTTTCTACAGAGCCGCTGTCGTTCTAAAGACAAGGTATTCATGCTTGGATGCAGTCATCCAAATGGGGGGCCTATACAATTGAATTACTACCTTCTTTTCTGTAAATTCAAAATTATGCTTAATTATTCCCAGGGTTTGGTTAGCTTTTCTGACTGTTGTGCAACTTTCAGTGAGTGGTGGATTTTGACTCCAAGGTCCTTTTCTTCATCAATTTGCTGTAATGTAATGTTATTAAATTGATAGTGGGTTGGGTTGGCATAGTTGCTATACTAACATGCAAGTTCTTGCATTTGTCAATATTAAAAACAGTTTCTGTAATTTATCTATTATTGTACAGTATATCCTTATTGTTATATAACGATAACTGCATTACTCCATGAATAAACATAGGACCCTTGTCTAAGGTAATCCATGTAATTTTGGCAATCTTTTTTCAGAACTCTTCACTTTATCAGTTTTTGTTTTGTCTTTTATGAGGTGAAGATCAGTGATGTGTATATAGTAACAGTATTGATCTAACATATTACTGTTAGGTGAAAGGAAACATGCTCAGCCATTTTTGTCCTTCCTGGGATTCCCAGTTCGAGTCCAGAATGTACCCAGAATTGCTATCAGGATCATTACGTGAAGTTAGTCCCTTGTGTTGACCAGACCACACACTAAAAGGCGAAGGGACGGACCGAAACGTCGTCGTTAGATAATTTAATTTCCTTCTATTTTTTTGTAACTTTACAGTACTATTTTGTACAGTACAGTTTTGACAGAAATTATTATAATTATATTTTTTCAGGAATTTGGGACTGAAAAGCTCCGTCGGGCATGGGCAACGACAGAGTCCAATCCGTATGACATGGAAGCATGGAGCTTGATTATCCGTGATGCTCAGAATCGTTCCATAGACACTGCACGTCCTATCTTCGAGCGACTTGTGACCACTTTTCCCACAACGGGCAAGTTCTGGAAGATGTTCATTGAGCAAGAGGTAAGTAAAACATAAAATTTCATGTGTGCATATGATTTAAGATAGTTTTGATTAAAGATCATAATTTCTAATTGCTTTGTTAGGAACAGGAAGTTTGCAGTTTTTGTTCATTTTGTAAGATTAACTTTTCAGAGTGAAATTTAAAACTTGGTTTGCCATTAACCAAACTTTTGTCATTAACAGTTTTAGCTATTTTACCACCCTATACATTTCTTGGTCTTGGAAAGTATTTTCTGTTTATCATGCTCTGTAACTTGGCAAGTTTAATCCTCTAGCTGTATCATGTGGCTTCTATCCATGTGCCTAGAAGCACAGCTTCCAAATCATATAATGTTTTGGTAAATGCCTTCTGACCTTGAATCACTAATCACTAATCATGCTCTCCTGCCAATGCTAACCTCATCATCCCACCAGAAATGGATGGGATGTTGGAATACATCCCTTGTAAATGGAATACATCCCTTGGATGTACTTGAAGGGGAATACATCCCCTTCAAGTCAGGTGAAACAGCAGAGCTGGGCAATTTAGAGATCTCGAGTTCCTATTTGCCTTATTGTGTTCATTTATGTATTTATTTTTGGTTTAAGGGCCTTACTTATCACGACTCCCAGTTCTAACATTCTGCTGTCTATGAAATAACCATTCCCTATTCCAATTTGATAATTGGACAATCCCTCCAATACACTTTTATGTGCCTCTTGTAATGAGTCTCATAAGGCACAATACTTTTGCTAAAGTATTTTTGCTCAAGCCATGGTGTCGTGTAATTTTTTTCATTGTACTGTACTAGAAAAGCATGAATTTGTTAAAAGATGTGAGGCCATAGTAAGATGGACAGTCTCAAATAGAGGTGAAAAAAATCCACAAGGGCCATGGCGAGGGTTCGAACCTATGTCCACGAGGATCCCAGACCCTGCCTTAATCGACTGAGCTACAACATTTGTTCGTTTGATGCATCACACTATTGTTATATGTATGTAATCAAATAGAGGCGTCATTATCTCAATTTTGATATATCAATCTATGTTGTACTGATCTATTAGCCAATATTGAAAGCCTGATACTATATCAAGGAAAGACTAATACTGATACAGTACTCAATGTGTTTTGATGCCAGAACATAAGACTTCCTGTGGCTTCAGATTTTGTAAACTGTGACATAGTAAATTATTAACACACTTTAATCATAATAATCATAGCATAACTATTCTTGTGGATGCTACAAAATTAAACTTGACTCCAATGTAGTGATTGCTGATAAGTAACTATTGCTGTCATGCATAGATGACATAAATGCAAAACTACTGATTCATCTGTCATGCATAGATACCCATAGTCATAGATTGTCATAGATACCCAGTCTTTGAGTGGTTTAGGACAAAGTGCTTTACAATATTACCACGTTAGATTTTAAACGTTGCATAAACTATTGGTGTGAATTAGAATTTTTTATATGATATGTACAGTATATAAATCTACAGTTCAAATTACTGTATACTTTGACTGTCACCTTGCAAAATAAGATAGAATAAAAATTATATTTTATTGTCCAAACCAAAAAAGGTAATTTTTTATTGATAACTGAAGAAACTAGATTTGGAAATCATGAATAACATCAACTTTGAGAATTTCTACTAACAGTAAACTAAATTTGTAAAACATATACACCATAGTCTTAGTCTTAAACTAAAAAAACAGTTTAGTCTTGGCAATCTTATTCTTATTCAGCGTTTTACACCACTTTTTCAAGGGTGGTGTAGATACAGTTGTCTTTAAAATGAAAGCTATAATTAATGTCACAGAAATCATAATAGCGTGATGCATCAAATGAACAAAAAAGTGTAATGAAGTAAGGGTGAAGAGGGAGAACGGCCTATTGACATAACTCGAGTGCATGGGGGAGTTGTGTAAAACCCTGGTTTGTGTCTCAGAGAGGCTGCAGGATCCAGTAAGTTCAGTAGAACTTCAGGTTTCAACTCTTTTTGACCATGTCGTAGCTCAGTCGATAAAGGCAGCGTCTGGGATGCTCCCAGACGCAGGTTCGAATCCTGATCATGGCCCTTGTGGAATTTGTTTATAATTAATGTTGCTTCATTAACAATTAAGCAATTAACATTCCTTCCTGGAATTATCATTATTACTTTCTGTGGATGAATTAAATTGCTGTAAATAGGTTAGTTGAGGTAAATTTTTTGTAATTCATAACTTTATATTTGATGTTCTACATTCACTAATTGATAAATATTTTCTATCTCTTTTCAGATGAGGTCTTATAATTTTGAGAAAGTGGAAAAGGTATGTCAAACATTATTTCCAATGTCATTTTTTAATAAAACTTGCATATTGACTTGTAGTTTATTTTTTTTTAGTAGTCTCAAAAGCTAATTACGTTTCCATCAAAAAGATCCCAAGCTTTGATTAACTTCCTAAGTTTACTGTCAGTAATTGATGCGGTGTGTTTCTTACGGTAATTGATGTATGACTGGTTATGGTGAATGTTTGGTATTGGAGTCGGTGCTACTTTGGGGTTGCTTTGTGCCGTACCACTTTAGTTTATGCTTAAGGGAGTGCAGATTAAGTTCAGTCTTTTGCTACTGTTTTACCACCTTGGTGTTGTAGCTGCCTTGGGCTGACTATTAAAAAAAAACCATTTTCCTATTCATTTGACGTTGACTTGTCTCTGATCTTTTAAGTACAGTATCATGGAACAATTGACAAGTTCAGAGCCTGATTCTGATTCCTGCAGCTTCCAGGGTTACATTGTCCTTTGTGTTTTTATCACCATTGGTAAATCCTGCATCTGGGTGGTTGGATGCAAAACTACTGCATTAGTTTTGCTTCTCAATTTTATGGGATTTAGTCTTTGGCTGCCAATATTCTTGGTGATTCGGTAACATGCTTTGTTAATTATTAATCTTTATGCTCCACATCATAACATTTTTATCATAATTTCATTATTACCCAATTCATATATATATTGAATAAGTGCAGTTACATCACACTGCCCTGGCATTAACCTTTACCCATCATCATGCTATTCAAAAAGTTCATTACTGTGCAAGTCAAATTTGTTCTACATAGACTTGCCTTCCTTGCTAAAAAAAAATTTATTTGATGTTCAAAAGATATCCTTGGGCACATTACTGCTAACCCATTCCATTTGGTTAGTTTTCCACAACCACTACAATCCTGTTTCTCCAACATTTAACAACATTCTGCACATTCTTTAACACATTTTACACTTGTTATTGATGTACTCGCCATAGGTGAATCAGATGCCATACTCATGATTTTCTTTGAATTACAAAATAGTTAAATGGTCATGAACATGTTTCACACAATGAAATGTTCACGTGAACACACTCGTCACATACACTCATTGGACTTTTAATCCTCCACCTACTTGTATTCCTCCTCCTCCTCCTACCTTGAAGTGTTTTGGGGGCGTAGCGTCCCCGCGGCCCGGCTGTTGGACGCAGCTACTCCCAGCCAGTTATGCCCCTTATTTGTAGTGGAAGTGTGTTGAATAGTCATGGGCCTCTGATGTTGCACCTCTGCTCTTCAATGGGGGTATTCTGCACATACTGCCATGTCTCCTGGTCTCATGTGGTGTTATTTGTGTGTGCAGGTTTGGGACCAGCCCCTCTACTATTTTCCATGTGTAAATTATTATGTATCTCTCCCACCTGGGCTCAAGATAATACAGATTTAGGTATTTTTTAGTCGGTCCCAATAGTTGAGATGTTTTACTGATTGGATTCTAGCATTAAAAAATCTCTGCACGCTCTCCAGGTCAGTAATTTCTCCATCTTGGAAAGGGACTGTCATTGTGCATCAGTATTCCACTCTAGAGAGCATTAGCATCCTGAAAAGTATCATCATTGGTATAGCATCTCTAGTTTGAAAAGTTTGTCATTTTTCTTGCAGTTGTGATGGCTACTTTGTGTTCTTTTTTGTCTTCCGACATGAGTACACCCAAATCCTTTCCATTATTTTTCATTCTGTGTTGTGATTTGACTGCATTTTGTACGTGGTTTCCTCAAGTAATGATTGTATTTAACATCATATTCTTGAGGACTTTAAGGATATTATTGCACCATAAAACATGATAAAAGTGTGAGAGCACAACTGATATAATATAATTTATATATAATGTATATAAACACTATACAGGTATATATGAACAAAAGTTTTCCCAATTTGACTTGATTAGTTATAAAGTTTGGGTTTATTATGATTGACATGTCAAGTTTGGCTTGTGGATTTGGAAACCTGATTAGCTTAATTGAGGCTACCCATGTTGTTTTACTCCATAATATAACTTTATTTCAGGAAGCACACATAATGGTTTCATGTTTTGGTAATATTGATTGTTTATGGGTTTTGTGTAGGACAACAAATAAATCCTACCAACTTTGACATGTGTGTTTTAATGGCTTTTTATTTTGGATTCATTATTTTCCTTGCTATTCATTTTCTGTGCATCAATTTCTGTAAGTGTATTTTTTGTGATACATTAACTGCATTATGAATAAAAAGAGGAGAACAAATTCTTGTTTCTTTTTGCGTGTGAGCAGCTAAGATTTTCCTGTCCCTTCTTGGAATAGCTTGGTGAAATTTTTAGGCAATTTACAGAAGTTGGCATAAGGTAAGAGTTGGTGTTGAAGTGTAATAGCAGGTGAGGATGTTGGTTGGCAGTGCTGTACAGTAATGTACACCTGGAGCATTTGGCCCAACTTTTCTTTCCATTTTTGACAGATTTATCTAACAGATACCATCTTTGCTAAAAATATTATGGTAATAATGTATTGCCATTGGGAATTAATAATTTCCCTTTTATTTTAGTTGAATATTGGTAATATACTTTTAATAGTATTTGTTGCAGTTTTATGTTGTGGAATATTGCTTTTAACAATCACCAGTTAGTCGACTGTTGTGGCTTGCATCCAGGGGAAAGTCAGTCATTGGCAAGGGGGATCTCAATTTGGACTGGGGAATATCAACTGACTTCTTATGTGGTGTCCAAGCAACCTGTCCTCTCACATAACACACAGTATCTTGATATGAAAGTCCCCCAACGTCAAAGTAAGGTGTATTAAATGATTTAGTTGCTTGCAACATTGATGTGATATACCTTTTTCTGTTAGTGGATCTTCAGCTAGGTTAGGTTCAGGCAATTTAGTTCTGTACATTATTTTGGAGATGATTTGAATACTCAAGATGACAGGCTGGTCCAATATCTAGCTTGTGTGTGCACAGTCTGGCCTCTTGTTATTCATGCATTTTCACTGACTTTTCTGAGGATTTATTGTTATTTGGGAGTTGAAGTCATGTAACGTGTCGAGTAGTATGGGGTACTTTTACTCAGATTTGATTTTGTTTGTAATGTGACAAATGTGCATTCATTTTTGTAATATTATCGGGTATATTGCCAAAATTTAATAGCAATAAAAGCATTCTTTGATGATGCTTTGGGGGAAAATTAAAAGGCAACATGTTAAGCTAAGTTCCAGAGTGTATATAAAAATAATATAAAAAATAATGGGAGAATTTCACAGGCAGAAGTGTGAAATGGAAAAAGCCTGTGGTAGGCTTAATACATGTGGTAGGCAACTTGGATCGCTTAAAATAGTAAGACATTTTCACTATACTATGGCTAACTGATTACAAACAGTGTACAGTATATGTTTTGTGTAACCTTATAAACTATTATATTTAACAAAAATTACATTTTATTGTTTATAAGACATTCACAATTGAAAATAATACAAGGTTCAATACAATAAAATTGATTCAAATTGTCTTTAAAGTGATTTTTTTTTATTAAGTGCTGTACAACTTAATTTGTGGTTGCATTTTTGATAGGCATACAAAAAGTTCTTCCATAGACATCAGTATATTTCTGTTTAATTCGTTCATATTCATGTTTAATTCTGGGTAGTATTTAATTAAGATACCTGGGTAGAAGTATTTGTTTGAAAACAGGGTTGTGGATTTATGGAACAAATTATCTTAATTAATACATGTGGGATCACTGATTAACGTTTAATGCATTTCTTCCCAAATCTGTGTGTTAAGTGTTAAGCCACAATATGGAAGGCACTTGCCTTTTGAAGCATCTTCATTTGAGTTGAAGTTTTTGCTCCTATGAATATTTATAAGGGAAATAAATTTTAGAGATGCATTGTGAAATCTGACAAACCACTGCATTGTGAATTATTTGGCATTTGTGTTGTCATTTAGACCGTCACAAAATGGGAATTTAGTAGATAAATACAGTGAAACTGTTAGTAAAGTTTGATGATACATTCACAAGAAAACTAATACATTATGGAAACCTAGGCCTAGGAAATATTGTACCAGCTGCAGAAATACTGTACATAAGGATATTGTCTATCACGATTTACAGCCTGAACTACTACTACTTAATGAAGAAATAAAAACATTTGTTTTATTGTTTATTGAAATCCTGATTTGGAACACATCGACCAGATGATTTCTGTTTTACATACTGTACTGTATCCCTGTTTGGGACACTTTATAATTTTCACTGGATTTTATTTTATATCTTGATAATAGCTGAAGAAAGCTTTTTGTCTACAGCATTACACTGAAAACTTTAAACAAGAATGTTCCATTATTTTACTTCATTATGGTAGACTGTCGAACAGTTTTAGCAAATTTTGTAGGGAAAAAGGATATTTTGCAATATTTTGAAAATGCACTTATAGCCATACTATCTACACATGCCTTAATGTCAGGAATTGCTTCTAGTAGTGTAGTCCTGATTGCAGTTGTAAGAGCAGTTTAACCCTTAGCTATGCTATGGTGATTTCTGCCTATGCACAAAATATAAAGGTGTTAATTACAAAATATAGAAGGTGAAGGTGTAGAAGGGAGGCATGGTGTTAGGAAGGGAAGTCCCCTTCCATTATAACATTAGGCAGTGATGACATTTCTGGGGGTATTCTCTTCTACATTTTGCATGCATACCACTAGGACCTGGTTCTGGCTCACTGCTTGCTTGTCTTACCAAGAATCTGTCTGAAGCCACTTTATTTTTCCCAACATTTTAACACTTGTCTGTACCGAGACATCACATTTTAATTAAAAAGGTCAATGCAATGGCCTGCTACAGCTTTATCTGAGGTGAGTTTTTTCAATAAAACTTGGCAGTTCACACATATTCTTAATGAGGAAGGGACATCCTCTACTGCCTCAACTCAACTATTTTCTTAGGTTGAACCTTGAACCTTACCAATTGGGACCCAGGGTGTGATATATAATAATTACTT